GGCTAATTCATCAGCCTTGTTATTAAGTTCATTGTCCTGATGTGCTGGAACTTTGTAAAAAATGATAGAGAGGTTTCAAGAAGAGGAGAGTTTTAGAAGTGTATTCCACACAGACCAGTAAGAGGTGTTTGAGAAGTTTGAAGCTGCATTAGAATGTGAAAGGCTGTTATATTTAGAAAATTATGAAACTTATCCCTCATATTTATAATAAATTAATATAGTAAATAGTGCCGATCTTAGCCGGATTAGCAATTAAGTTGGTTTTCAAATATTCGGGCATGTTCCAGATTGTTGATTCTTACTGGACGTACATGCATGGGTGATATTTCTTTTCCTCTAGTTCTTATTTCATACTGGATTAGATCTGTTTTCCCAATTTCTAACATGTTAAATACAAATATGTTAGGAATTTCCTTCATTAATTGTTCTTACACTCATTGTTTTTTTTCTGTAGAAATACAATTCCCAAAGTTCAGTTCATTACAATTGTCCTTTGTTAATCTTAATACAACTTTCGGATCTGATTCTTTTATTGTTCTGTTCTTTTGTTCATGTGTGTTTGACCAATAAATTACCTGCCCAACAAAGTTCTTTCCCTCCAAGTCGTGTAAATCAATAGGTTCTATTTCTTTTACACCCAGTCGATTCAAGTTATTAGCTTTCTGTACAATGCTTTTCTATTCTTCATTATTATTATATAGTACGTTTTTGTCTATCTCCACTCTTCGCATAGTAATTATATCCTCTGTGTTAGTTTCATCATCGTAATCGTCATCCTCTTCTGACAGGTTTACTCAAGCTTTAGGAATGATTGATGCCACAAAAGAAGCTTCTTTAAGGTCTGACTTTATAATATATCATAATTTATTGTTTTTTCATTTTAAGTTACATTTCGCCACAGCGAGCCAGGGCATGCCCAGTACGACTTCAAAGCTTGCAGCTTTCATTACGTAGAACCCTTGTAATACTCTAACGCCTTTCACTATTACTTCGACATTAGGAATATATCCTACAAATTCACTCAAATGGTCATCAGCCATTCGGCCTTTGCTAGTTACAGATTTCCAAGTCAATTCCTTTCATTTAGTAAATAATTCATGCATAAGATTCAGCCGTGAACCAGGGTCAATAGGAGTTTCAACCACTTCACCATTAATTTTTGCTATTCCAATAGGGACGTTTCCTATTTTTAGGTTAAGTTCTGTTTGTATTCCCTGACAATTCAGATTTTTGTGTTTACTGACAATACATCGCTTTCTTTTTTCTTTCTAGTCAATCCTTTAAGCACTCCAGTTCTGACTTTTGGAGACTATTTAAACAGTTGACCAAGTGTAATTAGAAGTTCAAGCGATGCAATTTGCTTCAGAATGTTCAATTCTTGTGTTAATTCTGACATAGAGATATATATTATTGATCCCTTTTTGTATTGTTCAGTTTCTTCGGGTGTTTCAATGTAAGTACTTTTTTGTGCTCATGATGGCATTTCGTGTTCGTCCTCTACTCGTCTTCATTTGCCCAAATTTCTTATATCAAACAATGATTTGCCTTCTTCGGCTTCTATCATCAGGTATTCATCACCTTCGCCTTTTACTATGTCATTAATCTCAAAATAACACACATTCATACTCCTTATTTCAGGGTTACCAGCTTCATTATTTGTTATCTTATTTCTTTGATTAGTGGGTTGTTGATGCAGAGTTCTGGTAGGACAATTGCGAGCAATGTGCCCTTCTTGACCACATTTATAGCACCTTCGAAGTCTATTTACTTGATTCTGTTTATTCATATTTTGATCTTGTGTTGCATTATTCATACTTTGATTACATTGTACATTAGGTAGTTTATTCTCTTTAAGGCTTATAATGGCTTTTGTTAACTCTTTGATGCTTGATTTCATTTTGCTCATTTGGTCATCTTGGTCTGCATTCTGATCAACACGGCAGATTTTCATGGCATTAAAAGCTGTTGTAAGATCATTCATATCCGATTTTGTTACATTAGATTCAGTAGTTGTATCCTTAAAAGGTACATATTCATTATCTTTATTATATTTTTCCACCTTCAAAGCCCAATTTTTGGCATCATTATATGTTTCGGGATATTGTTTTCTATCTTTTTTCTAAAAGGTTCTCTTAACCCTTGTATGTACCATTGCTATTTCTCATTTTTCCTTATTTCAGTCTCAACTAACTTTGCACAAGCATCAAACCAATTGGTGTAGGTTTTTATTGTATCATTAGACTTTTGCTTGATGCTCCTTAATCATTCCATTTTTTCTTCTTTATCACAAGATACTTGAGCTCTACTTATGATTGCGGCTTTCAGGTTTGTCCATGTTGTCTGGGCTTTAATTTGTTCACGAATCTAGGGTTTCAGGTCTTCAGATACATGGAGTCTAACTACTTGTCATTTTTTATCATCATCCCAATCCTTTGATGCACAATATGCTTCGTAATCCTCAAGAAACTCTTCTACATCTTTATTGTTATGGCCATGGTAAATAGGTTTTGTTAAGTCAGAGCCCCCCATTCTTTGTTGCCCGGATAAGGCTTGCTTTATTATGTATGTTGAATGTGACGTTAAAAAAAAATTTTTGCCCTCTTTTTTTTTTTTTTTTTTTTTTTTTTTTTTATTTTTTTTTATTTTGCACAGACAGAGTTCGGCCTGTGCTAGTTGTTGAAAATTTCTTGCGAGAGGCCTTTATTTGTGCCTAGGTTCTTCCTTGTCAAGTGGGTACGAATTAGACAGTCTCCTAGTGCTAGTTTAGCTCAGATCAGGGCACTTTGGGGTTCACTAGCAAACTCACAAGGCTTGGTGACACCTTCTTCTATTCCGGAGCAACACCTTAACTTTATGAAACACACATACATGATCACTTGAGGAACTACAGGTTTGTATTTTATTTAACTAAGTAATTTCTTATTATTGAGAAAGAGAGAACTGGGTTCGTTTACGAATCCTTTATTCTATTTATATCAATTCTCTGACTACAAATTGGTTTCATCAAACCATACATCGATGACTATATATTTAATGCAAGATTGCACACAAATAACAATAGACTACATCTATAATATATATATTACAAATAAACTATCCATGCATAAAGTCATTGGTCTATCTGATTTGTGTCTATTACCCTGATCATCACGGGCACCACATGCTCACGTGATGTTACGATCGAAATCCAAATCTTGACAACTGAATATTTCCTGAACGTAGTATACAGGGGTTTGACCACTATCGTGACAATAGTATGGAGTGCGGTGCCGAAAATACGGAGAAAAGATTTGAAAAGCTATTCAAAACTCGAGGACGTTTTGTCCCGAAGCAATGCACCAGCAGCGCAATAAAAGTGACTGTTATTGGTAACACCTGTAAACACTCCAAAAAGCATTGAAAAATAGTTGCTCTTATATGTATCATCATACACAATCATGTCATGAAAGTGTATAAATTGCCGTTTTAGTGTTGCATACACCTAGATTACATGTTTTAGTCTATTGTTACTATCCAATTCGAATTTATAAGAAAATTTGTGGTTATTATTACGTTTTTGTTGGAGAAGAAGAAGAAAATCATGGGCTTGAAATTCACTACGTGATATGCCATTAGCATCAATCAAATTATATACATCCTTTATTACCCACTTCTTCACTGTTGGTCCGTACTTAATTTTAAGAAGAGACTGGATTTGTGGTGTTGATATTCCTGCCTTTCTCACGGCAAAAATTTCCTTTCTAATAAAGGCTAGTATTTCGTAGTTAGCAGGCGAAATGTGCATAAATTGAGGTGAAATAAGCGAATAATTATAGCATAAATTGACTTGTGAGATATAATATTTATCGTCCTCTGGGTTATAATTGAGATGAACAGACCAGGGGCAGTTACATTTCTTTGATTCTGTATTTCTGCTTTTTTTATTCAGATCTTTAGGTTTAGATTTGAAAATGCCAGAGCGATCGCAAGCAAAAACTTGAGTAGAACGCAAGCCATCACTGTGATTGTTGCCTTTTAGAAAAAACACTTTAAACTCACTTGTTTCAGCATACTGATCAGTGACATATTTAAAGGCCTCAAGAGTGGCATAATCCTGGTCACACTGAAAAAGCAAGCTACTTAGTTCCAATGGGGTTTCAGGTTTCAACGGGGTCTCAAATTCTAATGTGTTTTTTTCGGGTTCGAGTAGGGTTAGGGTTTTGTGTTCTAGTAGGGTTAGGGTTTTGAGTTCTAATATGATTTCAGGTTCTAGTAGGTTAGGGTTTTGGGTTTTAAGGTGTTTTCACGTTCTAGTAGGATTAAAGTTTCAGATTCATAGGCTTCTTCATAGCTAGTAGGTTGATTTGGAGCAGCTTTTTAAAATATTAGGGATGGTTATTAGTCTTTTGCACAATCATTGTACATTTTTAAATGACTAAAACCTTACCATGAACTTGTAACATTACTTCTTGTTGTGTTCTGGCCATTGTTAATCTCAATTTTTTTTAAGTACAACAGACTTTGGTTTGAAGCTTTTTTTCTTTATTGGGTCGTACATTTGGTTTCTTCGTTTATTTCATATACCAATGGATATTGGTTTAAAATTTTTATTCCTTGCTTTTTAAACCATGTAATAAAAATCCAAAGCTCAGTTTATACTGAGTATATTAAGCGCTAATATATCTAGGTTCAAGTTATAAGGGAGGTGACCTTACTTCTCTCTAATTTCTAAAAATTTTTTTTTTTGAAGGTGTTAGTACAGGGTAAATAAGAAAAAAAATTTTTTGTTTGTGCAGTACAGTACAAGGAAAATTTTTATGTACAAATATAAATCTTTGTTTGAAAAAGGTAATACACGCATACAATTAAGGTGGTATGGTACATCAAGACGGTCGATTAAGGTGATTCACTACCAACAATTATTTCTTGCTGCTGAAAATTAGTGATCGGTGGTTCTACTACTCATATTGATATTCTCTAATTCCCGTATTTGCTTTGGCTCTTTAGTTTTTAGTTCAGAGATACGGGTTACTAATCGAAGCTTTGTCACAGAATTTTGCGTGTTTTGATTGGTCCACAGACCAGAGATGTCTAGAATTTCCCTTTTTTAATATATTCAGATGATATTTATTAGAGTTTAATAGAGTTTGCCCACCTATTCTATAGAACATTTGAAGGATCTCAGACTTATGTTTATAAACATGATCGAATGGATACATATAAAATAAGTTTGCATTGGCAACCCATCCAGCCTGGCCTAGCCCATGTAATTTTTTAAAAAAAATTATTCATATACGTAAAATAGCTGATTTTTGATACAAACATCATTGTAATCACTGCAAATAATAAAATATGGATTTAATTATCCAATTACAAGAATAATTATGGAAATTAATTAATATTTACTTTTTAAGACTAAGTATAGTTTTTTATACTAAATTCTGGATCTGTATTTGGTAAATCTTTTTAAATTTTGAAAACTATATGGAATATTCAATACAGATTTACCTAAACCATATCTGGCTTACATTAACAATATAAATGCTTGATTTTCTAGATTTAAATTTGTTAACAACCACCAACACCAATATAAATGAGGCCATTCAGTAATAATGGTGCAACATGAGAATTACGGGGAACTTATTGTTGACCAATTCATTGTATTAATGTCAAGCATATTCATATAATTAAAAAATGAGTTTTGAGAAGGCAGTGAAACTAGGGATGAGTATGGTTACAGTTATAATCATTGTGCCAGTTATTAGCTGTAATCGTTGTTAGCTGGTCAGAGCGGTTTAACTGACTGCTAAATAACAACCGATGCCAGATCAAAAAAACTTCAAGAGCAGTGAATCTGATAATCACATCACCTGGTTAACACTTGGCTTATGCTAGAGACGATTTGTTATTGCTAGTAAACAAATCCAAATTCTATCTAAACCCTAATGGTGGAAGGCACAAAAGTGGTCTGAGTTATTAGGGTATGACATACGTAATTGATCTTCCCCATGATCGCTGTCAAAATTTCACTGTCACGTTGTTAGCTAGTGAGAGAGCAGTGTTAGTACTTGCATGAATTTGGGTCATGGTCACCTTTTATTGGGCATTACTTATTGTCGAGATGAAACTAAAAATTCCTAGGATTATAATGCATTCATGATACTTAAGCAATTAGGCAGGCAACTTATTAAGAGGAACGATCTATTAGAATTCTCTTTATTAAAGGAAGAGTTCAAAGGGCATTCACTTCTCTCACTTTCATTGGTGGGACTAGCATTTATATATATGCGTAAAAATAATTGAATAACATTTGATAATCCAATAATCTACTGAAGACATCATCCTCTCATAAGACTATCTACCTTCTGATTGAATCTATCAGACTTATAGCTATATCTAGGAATTAATACTAATATTGATATCTACATCGGGAAACCTATACTTCCCAACTAACATTCTCAAGAAGTACAAGATCAACTTGTACCAAAGGTTGTGAATCAACTGTAACACATTCCCCTTCTTAAAAAGTCGAGCTCCCACGAGACTACAAACCAAAATTAATACTAAGGAGTATGCAGTAGAACTCTCCTAGCCTTAGTACTCAAAGAATACATAATTGTATCTTCCTAGCTTTGATAAACACAAACTATCCCTTAAACCGTTTAGCGGCCAAATTTGGCTGCTAAAATCTTTTTTTTTTGATTTTGTGCGATTGTGCTTAATTTTTCTAAGCAATTGTACCTCTTTTTCTAAGCTCGAATTAAAGTTTGCCATTTTGCAGATCAATTCATGATTTCATATCACGTTATAGTAATACATGATATCATAATTACGTGTTAGTAGTGCAGCAATTATCTTTTGATTGCTATCAATTAAAATCAAAAAAAGAAAAAAAAAATCAAAAAAAAATTTACAACTATCCAAAGGCGAGTTCATTCTCACATTTACCCCACCTGAAGAAGATACTGAGGTATTTTCTGACAGTAAGGATAAAGAGTACCTACCAGTTCTGACGTCCCGACAACGTTTTTCAAACCACCCGGGGTTAGACGATGAAGAAGAAGACGAGGCTGTTGAAAGCGGTAGTAAGAAGGGCCACAAACAATCAAAAAACGTACCTAACTTGCCACCACCACCTTCAGATTTTGAACCATTAGTTCATTCAAAAAATTTACACCAGGTATTTATTAATTTGCCACCAAATTATGAAGTCAGTTTCTCAAAACTGATCAACCTTTTTTTTCTTTTTTTTACAAATATTTTACTGGACAAAATTGTCCTCAATATGAATTCATATGCATTAATCAAAGGCGCTGGCCTTGCTGGAAGACAGTAGAAAAACATAAATCGTAAGAAGCTCCTTATCTGGATTGCCCTTGTCATTTACCAGGGGGGTTTTGGGCTGTCTTCACTTGATAATTACTGGAATGAGGACCCGAAGCTCCCCATTCACAATATTTCTAAACAAATGCTGCTGAAACGTTTTGAACAAATCAAAAGGTACTTTCATATCTCTTCCCCTGCGGCAGATATTAATCATTACTTTGAAAAATTAGAGCCGCTGCTTTCTCACAACCGAGACATTTCTAAACAACTTTACACACCAACCTCAAACGTCTCGGTTGGCAAAATAATGATAAGGTTTTCTGGCAAAAGCGTCCACACCATTCGAATTAAGAACAAACCAACCCCAGAGAGGTTTAAGGTGTTGTCGCTTTGTGATTCCGGATATACATTCACTTTTTTGCCTACATCACGTGTCTCTCCAAGTGATATAAAAAAAGTGAAAGGGCTTAACCAAACAAGTTACATGGTCCATTATCTTGTCATGCAACTTCCATATCGTCGATTCCTATTTAATATTTACATAGATAACTACTTTTCTAATGTTCCTTTTTTCCAGAATCTTCGGCAAGTTGGCATTGGCGCTTACAGTACTGTTTGAACAACAGCATCCGTGTTCGCTAAGGAACTGAAGATGGATAAGAAACTTCAACTTGACTGGGATGTATGTTCCGGTGTTACAGTAAATAGAGTGTTGGCTGTGTTTTGGCAGGACAATGGTCTGGTCACAATGCTGTTAACAATTCATGGTCTTGTTGGTGAACATTGGAAAGTTGAATGTGAAAGACGGCGGCCAAGAGAAACAAGCACCAATGCAATAAAAGTGCGTGTGGTGTTTGGGTCTCAACCAAAAAAAAAGCTAAAAATTCTCAGGATAATAGACGATTACAACCATCACATGAATGGTGTAGATGTTGCGAATCAGCTACAGTCGTATTACTGTATGCAACAAGTAGTACAAAGAAACTGAATATCGCTTTTTTTTTGGTTGTTGGATATTGCCATCGTCAACGCATATCGTATCACCTAAATCCTAGGATCTACTCAGGAGCATAAGGACTTTCATCTTAAACTGGTGTGGGATTTCATAAATAATATAAGTGGTGAAGAGGAAATTCAGCCTAGAGGTGGGTCAAAAAAAAAAAAAGAAGAGAAACAAATGAAGAAATGAAAAAAGAAACCAAACGGCCGAAAGTGACGAAACACTTCGAACTTTCAAACTGACAGTTTGCTCCTGGTAACCATTTAGTTGAGTGGCAAAAGCGAGAATCGTGCTAATGGTGTGTGTGGTTGGCAAGTAAGAAAAACTTGGATTTGGATCGTAAGACTCTACATCGAAGTAATCTTTGGTATATCATATGTGACGTACCACTCTGTTGTAATAACTCTCGAAATTGTTTTTTAGAGTTCCATAAAAAAATAAAAAAGGCGTTAAAAATCTGCAGGGATGGAAAATATTTCTGCAATAAATAACCCTGCAGATTGTTATCGTGATGGAATAGGAATTGAAAAGGATGAACATAAGGCACTCATTAATTATCAAAAATTTGGTAAGTTGAGTGATGTTAGC